GGTCTGCATCCCAGAAAATAAGACATCTTCCAAAATGTTCTGATACCTCACCTATTTTGTTTATTGGATTTGTAAACGCTTCATGCAAATTTTAGCTTGAAGACTCTTCTCCTTCAGTTTGGAATTTAGGAGAAGGTTTTTTTTATCTCTTAAAATATCATTAACCATGCAAAAACGTGAGACAATTCCCCTTTGTCATATGATGCATATGCAACGCTATAGGTAAAGCATTGGCATAGGTTGCCCAGAGAGGTGGTGGATGCTCTGTCCCTGGAGGCATTCTAGGTCAGGCTGGAGGAGGCTCTGAGAACCTGATCTAGCTGCAGGTGTCCCTGTTCACTGCAAGGGAAGTTGGACCAGATGGCCTTTAAAATTCTCTTCCAATTCAAATTATTTTGTGATTCTATGATTCTTTTAAAGCCATCTTTAGAGTCACATTGGATATGTTCTTTCTTTGCATGCACTCCAGGCAGGATAACCATGCTAAAAACATATCACGTTCATTGCTACTACCCACAGTGTTCTTCACCCAGAGATGGTCAGGAGGATGTGAACAAGGATTCTCATCAAATCCTTGCCTATCTCGTCTTCATTTTTCTTTGTTCTCTATTGGGGGTCCTTTCAGCATCTCTAGAAGTGATACAGGGATATTCCAGCATAAACACTTGATGTATTTTAGAATACAGCTGGAGCCTAAATGGCCTGTACTTTGACAGGTCAGGTGGAGTGTGACCAACGTTATGACCATGTCCTGTGAATCACAGTCAGCAGCAACGAACGTTTTGCACATGTTCTTGTAAGAAGTGAAAAACTTGCCAGATATAACAAGATACCACATCACCGCTGTCCATGTGCATTGTCTTGAGAACTGGCACCAGTATTATTTAATGTCTTTGCAGCTTGTAGACTCAGGTTTCAAAAGGTTGATGGGATCAGACTTTTCCTTGAAGGTTTTAGTGGTCACTAAAACGAGACAAAGAGGCAAAATGACTCAAGGTCACCAAGCAGGTCGGTGTCAGAGCAGTACGCAGAACCTCCTCCATGCATCCTGGGGCTGTCCTCTCACCCAGCACTCCACATAGCCTCGTTAGCATGGTGCATTTAATCAGCTTCACTCCATGTCGTAATTCATTTTCTGTGGTGTTATGGATATCTAAAGGGTAGGATTTTAACTTAGCAATCTGCTGTGTTATTGAATTAGTTTTATGTTGTGTTAATTTCTTTGTCTCACAGCATTCATCGCCTGTGATAATTGATGCACAATATATAACCGACTTCTGTATTCATTTGGGTAACTGCATTTAATTGCCTGGTATAAAATATGCGTACTAAGTGCAATCTGCTATGACTGCTATGACTGAGAAGTGCTCATTGGTATGGACTTGAGAGTGCTTTATCTTCCTGACAACCTGTCTGAGGAAAGTCTAAATGTCTCACAAAATCTACCATCCAAGGTACTTGCACTGCATCTGCAAAAAGAGAGGCCACAAAAAGCATTCCTGGGAATCATTTTACAGTGTTTTGCATTAGAAATCTGTTAATCAGAAGGTTTCAAGAAGAAAAGTTTATAGGAATGCCCCTGCCACCTCTGAACCTTAAGCACACAGAAGACTTTACACATTTTCTCCTGTAAGTGAGGATTTTCGCTTTATTTGCTTTTTCAAGTTACTCCATGGAATAGAGTTGCTCCCACACACATGTATTTAGGAACACAGATTTCTTTCACATATATCTTAGTGTCATTAATTCCCACAGGACTCCTAATGATTTATAGATTAAGAAGGCTATCTGAAAGTGTGATGTAAGGAAGATGGTGTTGATTAATACCTGATTGATTAATACCTCACAGAGAGTGGCTGCATAAACTTGCACTCTCTTTCTCATTTAACGACTGTCACAGTGATTTCTTTTGTTTTTAAGAAAGCAAGAATCTTCACTAGCAGATGTATTTCCTAGCATGTACTTACTCTTTGTACATCACTTAATCTTTGTATGACCTAGAGTGTTTGTTTATTTGTTACTTTGGCTTGTTTTGTTTCCTGCGTCATGAAGAATATAAAAGTACAGCATCTGGGCTATATGAAGAAATGCTGAAATTAGCCCAATGCCAATCTTATTTTAAATGTAAATGAACCCCCGTTCCCCCATAGGATTTTCAGAAGTTTCTTAACGGAAGCTAAACGTTGAGTCTAAATAAGGTGTCTGTAAGGTTATTTTAGCTGTATTATGTTGCTCTCTGTTAATGTAATCTGTGTGTTGTTGGTGGAAGAGATCTTCACAGTTAGTATTTTTTGCTTTAAGTGAGCTTGTTTTCACAGTCAGGAGGTAGGATTAGTTCTGCCTGCAGCTTGCTGTAGATTATTCATTGTTCATAAGTCCATTTATGCTTGTTTTTCAGTTCTCTTTTACTGACAAAATAGCCTGCAGCAGTAGTTGGTTAGACAGGACTAGTTCTACTTTAGGGTGCTCACGTGCTCTTTGTGTTTTTTTCCCCTGGTTCAGCCTGCAGTGCATCCAGATTCTGCAGCCCTGATGGCCTCGGAGAAAGCAAAGCTGCCCAGATCCAGTGAGACTATGAGAGCACTCTGAGCAAAGACTGTCATGGCCAATTGGGCAGAGCTGATGGCATAGAACAATAGGGGAGTCACAAATAATCCCATGTTTGTGGTGTTGTTTTCCTTGTCCTTTGTAAGGACTTTAAGAAATGCTAATTCATGAAAACCTAACAAAGTTTGAAATATGTGGACAACTTGGTAGAAGGCAAATGCAAAAGAAGTCACTTACTAGTCCTCATTAGATGTGTTTGTCTAGCCCAGCGTTGTTATGGACCAGTTCCCATTTCTGTGAGAGCTAATAGGGCTTCTGTTTGGGTTTGGGGGAAGAGAGTGTGAAATTTGGCAGCAGACCTTGTAATGTCACCCAACACACACGTAACAAAGCAATAAAACAATTGGAAACAACCCGACAGTCACATTTTGCCCCTTATTCCAATAATCCATGCCTGTATGAGATGGCTCTGCAAGTCATCTTCTGAAACCATGGAGTAGCAGTCCCACCTCAGGACACATTGTGGGGATAAGAAGTTAGCCCATGGCCAGGTATGAATATATTTCATCACCATATCATCACAGTTCTGAGCTGTTCTTTCCTACATCAAGGCACAAGGCTCCTGGTCACAAGAGAAAAGCAACAGGGCACCCTGGGCCACACCAGAGGCAAGGTCTGGTCCATGGGTTGCAGATGACCCACCCTGAGCACAGCATATCTTTTTGAGTCACGATTCTGTGATTCTGGCAAATGATTAACACAGAGGAAGGAGGTGGATGTGCCATGTGAGAAATATCTTATTGACAAATAATAATTCAGGCTGCTCTAACCTTGAAATAGATTTTTTTGTAGTCAAAAGTTTATAGCCTGAGTGGAAAGAGCTAAGTGCAAATTTAAGGAGCTGAACAGGAGACACCCAGTTTTTAAAACTTGACATAAATCTCAAGTGGCTTGCCAAGAGTAACATAAGCTAATCGTGTTCCCTGCAGAGGACTTTCGTTCAATGTTTTTTGGTGTTTATAGATGTTATTTAGCAGCTAATTTTATCATAAAATTATTTTATGCTCTGTATAATGAATAGTGGAGATCAAATAAGAATTGGAATTGCAAATTCGAATAATAAGAGTTGATAAATATTGACTTTTAAATAGACCCACTGTAGATTTGAACAAAACGCTTCCGGCCTATGCTGGTTATTTGAAAATTACAACATACAAGAAGAAAAAGAAGTTCAGCATTGTCTGATCCTGGCTCCTTTTTCACTTTTACAGCTATTAATGTGGTCTTGTCCCCATGAAGTGGTTTGTCAAGGAACAGTGTCAAGGAACTACAATACAGAACTTTCTAGCTTGTACTTTGTGCACATCACATGAAAAAAGAAAAGCGTGGGAGGTGCTCAGCTAAAATACCACATAATCACTTTAATTGCTTCTTTTCTAAAGATGAATTCTTGGGGTTTGCATATTGGAAACCCCATAATTAAGAACTTTCAGGGGCTTTTTAAAAAGACAACTCAGTTGTTGCCACAAGAGACACCTACCTGCTGATAACGAATGCCCTAAACTTGGTCAGGAGTTGAGCTGTGTGCTCACTAGTACCAAAGGCTGTAGATCTGAGACCTTTAGGCTTCTGGACAGCCAGGAAAACAGTGCAGCCCTAGTTTGGCCAACAGATAGGTGTAACTAATGCACACAGACCTGACACGAGGATACCTGTGCATTCTTGCTGTGTTTCTTCCTTCTACTGTAGTGCTGTCAGCTCACAGCTTTGGGTCACACCTCGTCCTCTCTCCAGCCTCCCTTGTAATGTCCATTGCTCTGATGTGACAAGCTTTGCAAACAGCAGCAACAGCAAAAAGTAACCATTACGTAAAATTTGTGGTCTGACAGCTACCTGGTGGAAGCAGCACATATTAGCTGGAAGCAGATGGTCCACTCCCACCTCAAGCTCCCTACCTTTTGTGAGGCAAAGATACACTGCTAGTCAAGGAGCCAGCATCATCCTCAGCTCACCTAAGCTTTCTTACATTTTCACATCTCTGCGTGCTCCAGGATTTCTTTTACTTTTCATTTCAGAACAGGAGACTATTTCCTTGTTAATTGTTAACAGTTAAAGAAAAAAAAAAATCACATTTTTATCACTTAAAATACATTCTTTCAGCTGATGCCTTCATGCTGAGGAGGCTGTGTAGCTGCTGATAAGACCAAATTTCTGAAGAGCTTTTCAGTCAGAGGCAAACGTTTTGTCAGGTTCCTGCGTGGCACTGTTTGCTCAGTGGGTGAGGGTGAGCGTTCATTGAAACTCCTCTCTGAAGTGCGTGCAGGAAGCCTGGGGCTGGTGCCTGGTGCACATGGGCAGGAGCATTGTTTGTTGGTTTCCCAGAGCTGTTTGTTGTTCTACAACCATGTTCTGGTTGTGGCACTCGGTGGCTGATTTTATCTTTTCTCTTTCAGAGCCTAATGAGCTGTATGTGGGCCCTGAGTTCGATGACATCCCATCTCAAGATGCTGCTAAGACAGTAGCAAATTATTGCTAGCTGAAGAAGTCTAACAGGAACAAAAGGAACTGGTGAAAAAGCGATGGCTGCTGGTAAGTGTCTCTGATCTGCATAGGTTGTAAGAAAATAGTGGGAATGAACTGAGTTCATTGTGATGAGGGAGATGCACAAATCAGTCCTTGTGCCTGGAGATTTACAATCAGGAGGGTACCCTCCCTTAGCTATCAGACCTTCTCTTCCTTCACTAACCCAGGAACCCATTACCTGGGCAGTCGATTTTGACCATATGAATGTTAATTTTCTTGTTTTCACAGAATCACAGAATTGTAGTTCATAACAAAACTTGATGTTTCCCATGGTGAATTCATTGTCTTTGACCTCTTTTTAATTCAGAGCTAACATATTCTTAAATTCTCTATAAAATTGCATCTCATGGAAAATAGGTTTTTCTTTCACATGTGTTTGGTCCTCAGTTTTCTGACAGTTTACCACAGATTATATATAGTCAAATTATATTAGAAGACTACAGGATAATTCATCCAGCACAGGAGGGATCTCAGGAGGTCTCCAGTACAACCTTCTGCTCAGAGCAAAGCTGGCTGTAGGATCAGACCAATTGCTCAGTGCTTTATCAAGTTTTGGCCCAAAAGCTACAAAGGTTGGTGGCTGTTAAGCTTGTTCCACCACTCAACTCTCCTCCTGGTGAAAAAGTGTTCCATATAATCAGCTTGAACCATTCATGTTTCATTCTATGCCTGTTGAATGTTTCTAATATCTTTATGATTTGCCAAGCAGTATTGTCTGAAACTTCTGAAAGGTGAACTATAATTAAGAAACAAGAGAATGGTGATATCTCATTTTCATTGAACGCTTTGTTAAAAATGCTGTCATATTGATGTGTTTCTTCTCCCGCAGCAGCTGATGGTTTGGGAAGTATAGCTATAGATACCACGCAACTGAACATGTCAGTCACTGATCCAACAGCTTGGGCCACAGCTATGAATAACCTAGGGATGGTTCCAGTAGGTCTAGCTGGACAACAGCTTGTGACAGGTAAGACTTTTTTTGTATTGAAGAGGTCTGTTGCAAAAATCTATGGACTCTTTGCCTTCTTTTAAAATATCTGGAATTATTTTTGAGGCTATATTTATTTTTCATATTCTGAAAACACTATCTATGATTAATATTGCATACAGTGTAGTAGTCTCTTCTTGTAGTAGTTGTAAAATCTATACCATATTTTAACCTTGTGGAAAAGCCCAAACTCTGGCAAAATTAGACATCGATCCTCATTCTGGGTCAAGATCAGAATCAGGGTCACATAAAATCTGTTTCTTCATTCAAGCAGGATTTTTTTATGTTCTGCTAGGGCACACCATGGTCTGGGACTTCCTGACTGGAGAAGGATTTTGAAGTTACGTTAATTGGGTAGAAAATTATGTAGCCCATTCACTCAGTTAATATTAGTAAAGCAAAACTTTCCCAACAGGTGTGCACTTATTTACTTATGGAGTCATAAAGTGAATTTCAATAGGTTGTTCTTGTTTGATTTTGCTATTTCACTTACAGTTTGGGGAAGCATTGTAGAGAATGAACTCATTCTAAAAACAATAAAAATAGTATTTCGGAATCAGCAGTGTTTCACAGACGCATCCAGGCATCATCAGACTTCACTGCCAGCAGTAGAGGACTAATTGGGTGGGATTAATTAAACTACATTGCTCCTGTGAGGTAGAGAAATAATTTTTGTATGGATGGGTGCCCCACAGACACAAGCCACCAGCCAGATATATGACAGATCCCCCCTGGAAACTGCATCCTTAGCTTAAGAAGAGCAGGGCAACATCTGATTCAGAGCAGCCTCCTGTCACATCTGCACCCGTCCATGTAGATGTGGAGGTGGTAAGCCATATCTAAATCACTCTGTTGGCCTCACCAGGGATGTGAGAGGTTTTATTTTGGCCAAATATGTCCCCTTCTGGAACTTGGAACAGCATGAAGCTATGCCAGTTTGCAGCTGATGGTCTGGCTCTGAATTACCCATTTTACAGGCGGGTAAACTAAGCTGCACAAAAGTTGATTTATAATGGAAGATTCTCAAACAGAGAATTTAGCCACTGGAGGCCATCAGCTGATTCTTTAACCCCATTCTCCTGATAAAAGTCAACAAGCAGAGCTGTCAGCACCTGCCTCCCCTGCTGTCAATTCCTGTGCGCTAGGGAGTGGTGGTGGCTCCTCAACCCGTGTACAAGTATCTCAGTTGCATGTCCCATGGAATTTGCCCACCTTTTTGTCTTCCCTTCTTCCTCTGTCTCCCCATTTTTGGTGGAAGTTTTGTCCTCAGGTGCACTATGCAGTCCCTACAAGGCAGCCTTGTCTCCGTTGCAGTGATTTCCCCATCAGGGAGGATCCCATGGATTTTATTTCATTGCCAGCTCCCTGCTGTAATTTTCATAATTTGTATATTATGTATTGTAGGAGTGTTGTACAGGCCAGCTGGTATTTGTTCAGCATATTGAATATATGGAAGGTGCCATAAGTAATAAATATTAATCAGTGAAGTGTTACCTATTTTCTCTACAGAAATAATTCCTGCTTTCCCTTTCCCTTTCCTTTCCTTTCTTTGAGACTCTTGTATTTTTCAAGGTAAATAGGTGCTTTGACATTTCATTATGTTTCCCCATGATTCATAAGTTTTTGACACATTTTCATCATGGCAAATCCATAATTTTCACCACAATTTACCATGAAAAGACTTATGGACTCTTTCTGCTTTGATATATTGATAAATATATTTACTGCACCTACATTCAGCAACAGTTTCCATCACCACGTTAGAACCAAATATCTAAAGACTCCTCAGCTATTTCTGACTTTTTTTTCATTTTTTTCATTGTTATTAATCCTAGCAATGAAATAATCTCCCACAGCAGTCACATTTTGCTGTTTTTACTGTCATCTATGACATTTCTCAGAGATTAAAATGAAACACCCATGTCCCAGCACTAACTTTTTCTCTGCCTTTAAAAATAAGTATTTTTATTTTATTATTTTATTTTCCTGCCTTGGAGACTGTTAGGAAAGCAATAAATAGTTTAAAATGATCTTGGAGAGTGTGTGATCTTCTCTGTGCGTGCCTTTATAACCTTCTGTAGTCTGAAATTCAGGGTATTGCACTCACCCATTCCCTGACATGTCTCTTAATTCTGTGATATTTCAATTTCCAAGGCTCTCCTTCATTCACAGCCTTTCTTCCTCCAAGCCTGGTTCCTGATTCCTAAATGGCAGAGCAATTTTCATCCCCTACGTATGGAGGCCATATGATCTACTAAGTCTGTTTGTGGATTTTTGCTCTTTTTTTTTTTTCAACTGACGTTAACTTTGCTGCTGTGTAACATGCTGGGATGCCTGCATCATAACAGAGTTGTACTACCCGCTTTACAAGCTGTGAAGCTCTTGCCCAGCCTGAGAATTTGTTAACATTAATAATAAAGCTTCTGAAACATCTGTCCGATGCTCTTCCTGCAGTCTGTGATGTAGGCTGTCTGTTCTGGGTAACTAATCAATTTTAAGCACTGCTAACCTTTTAATATCAGTTTAGATGATATCTGTACTCTATTCAATTCCTTATCTCCCAGTACTGTAAAATTGGATTTTTGATCTGAGAAAATGCCAGAGCCTTTCATTTGTGAAGATGTATTCTTGTTAATAGGTGTATAATATCTCTTCTATTTCTATGTGTAGCCTGCTTGCACTTCTTGTTTTTCATAAAGCTCATCTTCTTCCACAATATTTAGCTACTGCATTGCATGTAAGCTAAAGTATACATTTATACAAAATATATACACAATTCATATGATAAACTGTAGTTTAGTAGTGCATTAGTTAAAGTGCTAAAGACTGATGTGGAATGGCCTTGGCTGAAAAGCACTTTCATTGTAAACCCCTTCCTTCAGCAAGTTATAAATTTTTCCAAAAAATTGCCTGTTGGACCTAAGTGTCTTGGTCTTCTCCCAAAGGTAAGGATTTTCTGGAAAGGTTGGACACAATCTGCTAAACTGCTTCTGAGTTGGGCAGGCCTTAAAATTGCAGTTTTCACCACTCTGGAACTTTGAGAAACATGTCCAGGCGATAGGAGAAAGGTAGTTTGTACTCCGTGGTTTTGAGATATGAATGTACCTTGTGCCATCAGCAGCTCTGATTCAAGCACATCTTTCAACTGTGTTTAAGTCTGCTGCTCTGTTATATTTTAGGAATAGCAGAAAAGCTTGGTGACCTATGGCCGACTGAGGCTGTTTTATTTTGCTTTCACATCAGGACTTTTTAAAGGCAGTTCTGGCGCTGCTGAATTTAGTGTCCTTCTGCTGTCTTTTGTTTCAGCAAATGGCATCAGGTCACCTGTATTCTAAATGATGACATCTGGCCCGAAAACATGATTTACTTTCCAATTTGGTTTGGTTTTCCTTACACTAATGAGCCACTGCAAAGCATAAACTGGAAAACATAAAGCAATTCTGAGATGCTTTTCTTCCAGAGTGACTTAGAGGACTTAAACATTTGTTGATCAAAGATTGTATAAATTAAAAAGTTCACCAGTGCAAACACATGGTACCTAAGTGGTAATTCTAGAGTTGCTTAAGGCTGTCCTCTGTGCTGGTTGTTTGTACTCTTGCAGAAAAAAAAAGAAATAACAAACTTGAAGTGCAGACATCCAAGGTGAAAGTTATATTTCTGCTTACAAGTCAAGGGTATGCCTGAAAGCTGATGCCTTCTACTTACCTATGGGTAATTATTAAGGCAACATCATTCGTGCGAGTCCAGCCAACATGCCTCACCCTTAGGATATTAAATTTTCAGTGGTCTCCAGTATTGTTTTTGCTGAAGTTATACTTTGACCAGTTCTACAAACTCCTAGTGAAATTGGAGGCTAGTAAGCTTTGAAGCCTAACATTCCTCTTACCAATAAGTACAGGAAAGCTGTACACCATTTTAGTGGCCTCAGGCGTATGTCTTTTAGACACTGGAGGTTGTGAAATATTAGACACTTACATCAACCATTCTGTTTTTCCATTTGTCATTTCTTTCCCCACACACTTGTCTTTTGACCTGATTTCAGTGGAACATAGGAACTGTCAGCTTCAATCAGATCACCTCGTTCAGGATTGTGCTTCTGACAGTGCTGAGTAGCTGATACTAAACAGGAAGATGTAAAAGGCAAGTCAGCACCAAAGTGCTTTTTCCTCCACTGGGCCCTTCTCTTAATCATTAATACATGGAGCAGGATTCTCCAAACTAGAAGCTGTATATCTAAATCAAATTATAACTCAGCAAAACTTCACTTATGGATGCAGCACCTGTGACAATAAGTGTGTGCAATCCTGAAGTTGTAACCCCAGAAGTAGATCTTGATAACACAAGAAATCAGGAAATATCAATCTAGACTTTTAAATCCTAAAACAGTAGGCTAAATATCCCTCCCATAATTTTCTAAGCTTAAGACCTCCAGATCTTTGGAAACATAATATTCAGACTGTCTCTTTCCCAAAAATTAAGACTGTAACAAAAAGCAAACACTATACTCAGTTTACAATCAGTCACTAGCATTTTTCAGTGTGATGGACGTAGCAAAGGGCTGACCAGCATTTCCTTCTTCTACTCACTTCAGGGGCTCAAGAGATCACTAATTCCCACGCATTAGAGTTGGAATGGAGAATACCCAAGAATTATTTTAGAAAAATAAAGGGTGGTGTGAGGCTTAATAATTCCTTCACCATTCTGCTTCAGCTATGGAAAAACCTGCTAGGCTTCACTGGCTTTCTACCATAGAATAAATGAGGCATGCTCAATGAATTGTGGTCTTCTACATATCATTGCATTCTGACTAGAACTGTAAACAAATTCCTCATTGTTCTGATTTGGCACCATTTTTGTAATATCAATGAAACACAATCAAATCTTGTAGGTAATCAAGTTGTATTTGATTATGTTCAGAAGAGAGGCTGTACAGTAAACAGTGCTGAAGTCTTTAAGAAGTCAGCTGGCCAGAAGATACT